ATACCGAGTTTAATCAAAATCGTTGGAGCCGTTTCCAAGAAAATCGTAAAAAAGTATAAAATCGATGATATAAAGTTAACCTTCCGGTTAGCCGATTTTAAAGAAAAAGTTGCTGTCACATCGGAACCAAATACAAACCTTAAGTTTCGTAAGACTTTTCGTTTTTATGCTATACTGATCACATACACACAAACACAGATCATTTTGCGGGACATGATTATTTAGACTCAGGGGACCTTTTGAGGTTTTGACATGTTCAGTTCAGATTCGAAAATTTTCACGATCCAATCAAAATTTCCATTACTATATATTCATATATGGATAAGAGAAAGTGAAAAGTATATACCATAAATAAAATAAAATAACTGAAAATAAACAGGCTTCGTCTGTGTTTTTTCTTTGAATGTGCTCAATGAGTTCCAGGAACTAGATCGTTTTTTTTTTTTTTTTCAGTAACTTTGCAGTTTACGCTCACTCTGTATTTGAAATTAATATATTGGGGGAAGAGGTATTTCTTTTTATCTCTTTTTTGGTAATTTTTTTGTTTTATAGTATCTTTTATTTTTGTGTTGTTAATCCTTCATATACTTTTTTAATTTATGTATTTATAAGAAAGATGCACAATTGTTCTATTGCAAAGTCGTAATGTAACTCTGCTGGGTATAAAAAAAAATAATAAAAAAAATCTACAAACTATTGAGTTTAATAATTGCTACCATTCTAAATAATTCCGACCATTCTCTCAGAAGAATGGACTCACCAACTTGCCTCGATTCAATAAAAAGTATGAATAGTAAATGAGAAATGAGTCTGGTAAAACCAAAAGAAATTAAGGAACATTGTTTAAAATGAAAGTCTTCAAACCGAAAATCAAGTTGAAAAGAGGTGATATGTCGCATACGAATCGGGTATTATTTTTTATCCCATGGATACCATTTCCAAGGATTAGAAGCACCAACTTGCACCTACTGCCGAATAACCAGAACTGTGAAGCAGTTACTTTTAGACTCAAAGGAAAAACCTATAATTGGGAACGAAAATTAAAGTAATTCATAACAGTTAGGAAAAGTAAATAGAAAAACTGTTCAAATATTTAAAAGAAATATATTTTTATCCCTCGCGCGGGCTCATTACCGCGTATGGGGAGCGTCCCACGGGTGGCGGATGTGGGGATGGTCGGTGGAAATTCCTTGGAAGTTCCTCCCGGCTAAGTCCGATGGACTCGCTGACCAACAATGAGAGGGGCCCTCCAGACTTGCTGGAGGGAGGGTACCTCCAGACTTGCTGGAGGGAGGGGACCTCCAGACTTGCTGGAGGGAGGGGACCTCCAGACTTGCTGGAGGTAGGGGCCCACCAGACTTGCTGGAGGGTGTGACGTAGGATTGAACGCCCTACTCACATATCTTTAGTTCACCAAACACCACAAAAAGTCATGGATCTCCCTAAGGTAAAACGCTCATTATCCGAAGGTAAACTAGTCCCCCGTTCGGGTCTCCGGGTGGGGACTGCTTTAGGGGATTCAAGGCGCAGGTTGAAATATAGGGATTTAAATATTGGTACGTGGAACGTAAGGAGTTTAAACACAGCAGGGGGGCTAAAATCGGTCGCGAATGAGGTAAATGGGTACAATTTGGATGTCGTGGCTCTGCAAGAGGTTCGCTGGCCAGGGGAGGGCTCGATGAGGGAAGGAAAGTACACTATTTGATACGGAGGAAGCGGGAATCATTGTTTGGGTACCGGGTTTCTAATTAGGAGTAGATTACTATCCGCTTTGAAGGACGTACAATTCTTTAGTGATAGAATTTCGGTAGCTATATTTCAGGGACGTTGGTTTAAAATCGCATTAATAAACATACATTGTCCGACCGAAGACAGTGACGATGAATTCAAAAGTGAATTTTACGATAAACTCGAATGGGTTTATGATAAACTACCGCGAAACTACATGAAAATAATTGTAGGTGACGCGAACGCAAAGGTAGGAAGGGAAGAAGTTTATATTCCGACGATTGGTAAAGAAAGTTTGCACGAATATAGTAATGATAATGGGATCCGTCTGATAAACTTTGCCATCTCGAAAAATCTGATAATTAAAAGTACGAGTTTAAACATAAGGATATTCATAAATATACTTGGACATCACCGGATTCGCAAACACGAAATCAAATCGATCATGTCTTGATACAACACAGCTGGCAAAGCAGTATAATTAATGTACGGTCTTATCGCGGAGCAGAATGTGGGTCGGATCATGAATTAGTAATCGCGAAACTTCGACAAAAACTTAATATAAAAAAGATAAAAGAAAACCGTTTCGATTTTGAGAATTTTAATTTGGAAAAATTAAAAAATCCATCAATTAGAAACCAATTCGAGCTAGATGTTAAGAATAGGTTTGAAGCTTTAGTGCTTCCTGACGAGGACCACGAGGATATTGACAAGTTATGGGTAGAGATCAGAGATAATATGAAAGCGGTCGGTAACTCGTGTCTAGGGAAAAAGGAAAATAAGAATAACAAACCGTGGTTTGATGAAGATTGCTTAAACATGTGTGAAAAAAGAAAAGCCGCTAAATTAAAAGCTCTAAATAATCCTAGCGAAGACAATCTGGAATACTTCCGAATCTCAAAGAATGAAACGACAAAATTGCTCAAAAATAAAAAAAGGGAGTATCTTAAAAATAAAATAATTGAAATAGAAACTAATAGAATCGAAAATAACGTAAGAGACATGTACAAAGGTATAAACAGATCACGTAAATATGTAGGGCCCGTAACGTCTGGAATTAGGGATGATAATAACAATATTCTGACCGATCCGGTTGACATATTGAATAAGTTTAAGGACCACTTTGACAATATTTTAAATACGGGAAATTATGATCTGTGTCCTCCTTCTGAGTACCAGAGTGCTGAACCGTTAATAGAAGGACCAAGTAAAGAGGAAGTTGAAGTAGCTATCGGAAAATTAAAATCATATAAAGCAGCGGGAATCGATAATATTCCTACTGAACTAATTAAGGCATGCGGGGAAGATGGAGTTTCTAAAATACATCGGTTGGTTAAAAAGATCTGGGTGAACGAGAAATTACCCGAAGAATGGAAAGAATCTATTCTTATTCCGATTCACAAAAAGGATCCGAGGACGGATTGTAATAACTATCAAGGAATTTCACTCCTTCTGGTATGTTATAAAATATTCACTTTAATCTTAACCAGTCGAATCACGGAATACGCCGAGGAAATTATCGGAGAATACCAATGCGGATTTAGATGGAATCGTTCGACTATTGATCAAATATTTTCTTTACGGCAAATATTAGAGAAAAAATTAGAGTATAACGGTATTGTTCACCAGCTGTATATAGATTTTAAAAAGGCTTACGATTCTATTGACCGCCAGAAACTGCATAATATTCTAATCGAGCAGGGGATTCCAAAAAAACTAGTAAATCTAGTCAGGATGTGCTTGACGGAGACACTCACTAAAGTTAGAATCGGTAATAATTTGTCCGAAAAATTTGAGATTCGTTCGGGTTTAAAACAGGGGGATTCTCTTTCGCCTGTCCTGTTCAATTTGGCATTAGAACATGCCATTAGGGGGGTAATGCGAACCGAAAAAGGGTTGGATCTGGGCGGGACAACATCCGTGCTGGGCTATGCTGATGATCTGGTGCTGTTAAGCGAAGACGTTGAAACTATAACACTAAATACGACAACTTTAATGAAAGCCGGTAAAGAAATAGGACTCGAAATAAACGTGGATAAAACAAAATATATGGTTAGCTGAAAAAATGGCGATACTACTGGTGATATCGATATAGATGGTAATATGTTTGAACAGGTAGATAAATTTAGGTATCTAGGTTCTACGATAACTAGAAAAAACGAAATTGAAGAAGAGATTAAGGTTAGACTGAAGGCGGGAAATGCTTGTTATTTTTCTGTGACAAAACTACTTAGTTCGCGCCTCTTGTCATGGAACTTAAAAACTAGAATCTATAAAACAATTATCTTGCCTACAGTTCTTTATGGATGCGAAACTTGGCCGCTTACACTAAGGGATGAACAGCGTCTTAAGGTTTTTGAAAATAAAGTATTGCGTAGAATATTCGGACCGAAGAAGGATGAGTTAACCGGAGAGTTCAGACGGTTACACAACGCCGAATTGCGTGAGCTGTATCCGGGTAATATAATTGAGGTAATTTCATCGCGGCGAATCAAATGGGCGTGTAAAGTTGTTGGGCTTAGTAACGAGAGAATTCCTAAAAGGTTAATATTTGCTGTGCCGAATGGTAAGCGTCCGAGGGGTAGACCGAAGCGAAGGTGGGAAGATTGCATTAAAGCCGATCTGAAGGGATTGGGTTTGGACGGCGAACGGTGGAGGGAGGTGTGTAACAAGCGATTGGTGGTGTCGGCATCGAACCTTTGGGTTCGCTAAGCCTTATTATTATTATTATTATTATTATATTTTTATCACATAATATAAAATTGAGATAATAAGCCAATGACCCTTAGGGGCAGAGGCAAAATAAATGAATAAAATATCGCAAAAATGACTTTGTTATTAATGATTGTTGTTTCCATACTTATGATTGTGATGTGATTATTAATCAGAAAATATCTTCGCTATATCACATTAATTGACCAATAATTTCAGTTATTCTTATTCTATTATTATACCAATAACTGTAAAAAAAAATAACCTATCTTATTATTCATTTAAACTTTGTTAATGTTTCTTTATAGATGAGGAAATGTTTATTTTATATGTTCCATATTCATTTTTACTAAACGAAACTCAGGAATAAAACTCTCGTGAATTGTTAACAGCTTTTTTAACCGTTGATATGTTCTGTATTCTATTTGTAGCTACATGAACGATAAACCCTCGTTAAATATTCAGCTTCTATCATGGTTGTTTTTTCAAATTTCATAGAATTTGTGCGGTTTTTTTTATTGATACCATGTTGTTATTTATTCATTTTTCTGTTCCCTTAGAATCATCCCAACTATCTGACAACTGGAAACAGGTGGGTGAAATCATCGGATGCTGTGACGTCAGGCTGGAAAGAATTATTTGGCCTGGTGGCAACATAGGTAAGGTGGCAATGTTCAAATTAATTTTTAACAATTATCTATTTAATTCCTCCAGTAGTTATGTTTAAATTAAATTTATTCCGTAATTGAGTAAGAATTTTTCTTATGTTCTTTTTTTATAATCAAAGAATGCAGATATAAATCTAATCAGCAGAATTATTGTTCCCTATCTTTCGATGAATCTACAGTGGGATACTTTAGAAATCTAAAGAGGCAAAAGTCAAAACTGGCATTTACATGAAATATTTATAAAGTAACACATTATTACTAAGAGAAAATACTTCAAGGCCCGGCACAAAAAATAGAAACAGACTTTGAGGAAAACAGATTGTGTCATCGAGAAAAAAACTTTGCAATGGAATCCCTAAGGAACAAGAAGAAGAGATAGACCTAGAGATACATGGCGCAGATCTGTTCAAAATGACCTGAACCGAACTGCCTAGACTTGGCCAGAAAGAAGTATTAATGATTGCAAAACGAGTGGAATGATACACATTTGTAGATGCTCTAAGCTACATCTGGAGTCAACGGTGATACTAAAAATATAAATAAGAGAAAAAAAAATCATTGGATTAAACCTACTGATTATATTCTCCTTGAGGCTTTTGTTTTATTAGTTTATCGTGTTTTATTAAAGCTGTTTGATTATGAATTGGAACTTAAGCTGGATTATATAAATATTTTATGAGTTGTTTCTGTAGGTATCATCAAATATCCATCCTCAGTCAACAATGTGATATTCAAGGACACAGTTAGCAATCCTAATCAACATTTTTGTAATTAACCAATAGAAGTTTGATAGTTCACTCGATCCTTTGAGGAGCGAAATGATCTTAAATGCTCTGGGTGTCATTTTCATGGTCCCATCAATAATGTCTGGCATGAGTTAACCGACAAGGTTTTTAGATAATTAAAGGATTATGAGATAAGCCTTGAATGAGTCATGATATTTTATGCATATACTAATGAAATATGGAAAATGTACAAAGTATCATGAGTAATAATTTATTATTGGTTCAAAAAAGAAGATGTACTGTGAATTTGTGTTTCAACAACCTCTTTAGCATGATCTAAAAAGGTCAAATTTATTATAGTATTTCGAAAACGCAGTTAAATTTTCATATTCAATGATGGGAATTGATTTCCTACTTGATAGTATTCGAGAGCATCGGTTTAGAAAAGGCTGTGTGATGATGTCTTTATTATGCATATGCAGAATATTTATATAAGTAAAATTGAAATTTTTATGTTTTTTCCAGGTGGTCCGTGCGGCGGGTCCCGAACGGTTCTCAAAGTTGTCACTGCGATTGCCGCTCCCTTCGTCATGGTTTCGGAGAGTGCACGTGGATTGGAAGGTGGGTGCTTGAGGGGGTTCCCTTGCGACATAGTCCATGACAACGGAGGAGTCAGGTTTGAAAAATAACTATAACTAGCTTATACGTAGTTGATTGTATGTTTTTTGATATCCTTGTGTTACTGCATTATATTATTTTGGTGTTTCTTGCAAATAGATTTCTTAGTGCACATCTAATATATTTTGTGTTTTAACTTACAATGTAGCCATACATAAAACACACTTTTGCTACATTTTAAAAATGATGCATTCCAAATGTGTGACTATTCCATAACTCTAATCAAACTCAAAGTACTTTTCATTTATTAAATAACATCCCTTGTTTCCTTTCAAGTGCCGATACTAGATTTAATCTTTTAAACATTTTCCTAATGTTATCTACATACATACATATATACATATATATATATACCTATACTTGTGCAGTATATTTCACTCATTTCAAAGGTTGATGATTGATTTGACCCAGGAATGTTGTTGACTACTGATCTATTTGTTTTTGTTTTTTTTCTGGAATACAAATTAGGTTTAGTATCAAAACAACTGTTATCTACCTGAAACAAAAAAAGGAAGCATAGGTAAAGGGAGCCAATTCTTGGAAGAGTAGATGTCTTTTCATTTCAAAAAGTCATTATCTAAAATTGTTTAAAAGTAAACCACTGTGCAGTGTCAATATTTTTTGTGTTATAAATCTTGAAGTATATACGTTTGAACACGCATAGAGATTTAGATATTTAGGGTCTATGTTAATAATAAAAAAGAAAAGTAACTATGCGCTTGCTAGCGTCCGAGGAGTAGACCGAAGCGAAGGTGGGAAGATTGCGTTAAGGCTGATCTGGTAGGGTTTGGACGTTGATTAAGTCATAAATATCCTAGTCCTATCATAAATATTGTTACCAGGAAATATATCCACATTTCAACAGAATTTTTTTTTTTTTCGAAAAACTTTATTAGAAAATAAAATGTTTACCTATAGAGAGTAAAACAAAAAGAAATTACTTAAAATGTCCTCCTTTTGCCTTGACACAGGCATTTAATCTCCATGGCCAGTCATCAATACCAGCACGCAGCACTTCTTGAGAAAAGCGCCCAAATGCTCGAACCAGAGATTGTTTGAGGCTTTCCAAGTTAGGGTGTGCTCTGTAGCATGCCATTCTCTCCAGTTAGTACCATAGCCGATAATCTAGTGGGTTGAGATCAGGGCTTCCTGAGGACCAATCCGAGGCAGAGATGACCGCTGGAATGTTCTTTTGCAGCCACTGCTGAGTTGACCTGGCGTTGTGAGCTGGAGCGGAATCCTGCTGGAAAACCAAATGACATCCAGCAAACAGAGTATCATTTAGAGGCTTGGCAACAGGTCATGTTCGTCATGTTAGATTTTAGCGGCTGTTTAAATCCTTTTTCATAAAAATGAAGGTTTGTGATGCCACCAAAGCAAGCTCGCCACCAAACCATCACTGAGGAAGGATGATGACCTCTTTCCACTCTTCCAATGACTTCCTGGCTTCATTAGAGCTGTATATGTACACACAATTATTTTAGCGATTAAATTTTTCTTCAATAGTAAACATTTTCTGATCACTAAACTAAATCTTTCTATTAAGACCATTGATGTAACGGCCGAGGAGCACTTTGCATCTATTCCCTATATTTTTTTTAGAGTAGTGGTTAGCCTTTGCCCCTTCATTCTTCGAAATGCACCCATCCTAAGGTCACTTTTTATTATACGAGACATTGATATGACAGAGATACCGATTTCCCAAGATGTAATCTGTTGTTTTCGAAGGGGATTTCTTCTGATTCGAGGATCCACTGCTCTCACTGCATTTGCCGTTCTCACAGTGAGCAGTTCTCTTCCGGGTCTGAACTACATTTTCCAGATTTGTGTAAGACGATCACAGCTATTTGGTATTCTTTATCACCCCACTCCATGATAACTAATCGAAAGAAAAGTAGAAACTAATTGACAGGATGATTATACTGACATGTAAAGAAAATAACCTCATAGAGGTAAGAATTGTCTAAATAATACCCAAGGATGTAAACAAAGTTCAACTTTTGTAACAGTATTCATGACAGAACTAGGTAGACATCGACTGGTGGTATCGGCATCAAACTTTTGGGTTCGCTACGCCTTATTATTATTAATAATGTTCTCGTTATCTTTAGGCAATGACTGTTTTTCGATAGAAAAATTAGATCGGAATTCACAAAATATATCTGAAAGATTAGCTGCACCAACAATTTTCTTGTAATGTATTTCTATGAACCGAAGATTCAAAATATTATTAATCTACATGGTGTAAATCGTATGCATTGCTTAATTCAAATTATATTAAATATACGTTGTTATTATTTTTAAAATATCTATCCTACAATTATCTCTATTTCAAAAATATTTTATTGATCTTTTTTTCCCCTCAAATCGTAAATAAAGTTCCGAATTCCAATTAATGACTTTTTAAGATTACCCTACAAAAAATATTTATTCGGCGGCTCTAAGCTTCTAGGAATCAATATCGAAATGGGTGAAAGGGAAAAAGAGACTTCTTAATTAAAGGTGAAATAATTTACAGGTTCCAAGTATAGGCAGGGCTACTAAAAATTGCCTGAAAGTTCAGTTGAAACACGGCTTGGAACAGAGCCAAAAGGAGACAACTTTAAATTGAGGTTCAGTCCTGGTTGGATTCAATTTGCTGAAGGAAACGAAAACAACCGGGTTAGTCTAGAGTTATACTCCAGCAGATAGTAACCAGTATTACAAGTAAACTTTCTTGAACGTGTTAAGCTGGATATTCAACAAAGCCTTATCTTAAGTATTTCCATTACTAATGGCTCTATTAAGCTCTTGAGAAAATACCGTATTCCATCGGTGGAGATTTTACTTACAATTAGATAATTGTTTTTACTTTAATCTATTTTTTTAAAAGCTAAAAGAATTCATGAAATTATTATGAAAATGTTCAAATATGGATGGGAAAAAGGGTGAGTAGCTAAATATTCTTCTAAATTGGCCTAAGTAAAAAGAATACGTCGAATAAAAGCCACAGTAATTTATAAATATTATAACTAACTCATTAAAAAATTAAGAAGACATAATTTTGATCACTAACTTATACTAGGTAGCAAACTTCATTTAATAAGATTGAAACCGATTAACAAATTATTAAATACATCTCTTAAATATAATATAAATATATTATCGATCATAGTCTAAATTAATCTACTGGAACCAGTAAAATGAAACTTCTTAACCGATAATATTTATTCAACTTTTCCTTTGTTTTGAAAAATGTTTAGTCCGCGGTGCAGGCCCCTTTTCATGAAATTATTAATATTCGCCTAAAATTTCGTGTCCTAACATACAAATATTTTATCAAGTAAATTCTCGGAATTGGAAAGTTTGACTTGACCTACGGCCCCATGTCGTCAGAACGACGATGTGAAAATTTATGAATATTCGACTGATCTTCGCATTAATGAATAATAAAGATGAGTACGATCAAATGTTCATAACGGCCTACAAAAATATTGGGGCGTTTGACGTGGCCTACAGACCCAACATGTCGTCAGACCGACTTTGTTTATGAACACAACTGGTCACGAAGAGCACTGATGATAAGTGAGCTATTTTGAGATAAAATCACGTAGTTGCGTACAAAAATATTGGGGCGTTTGGCTTAACATAAACAAATAAGACAATATATTTTTCCACCAAACCTTTTGGTCGCCACTGATGGAAGTGAGTTTTGAAAAGCTGAACATGGTGTTAATCTGCTCATTGGATGTCAAATAATAGTATCTTAAGTTTGTCTCTTTTTAAGAAGGGGAACTAGGCGGAAAGATTTTTTTTTATATATTTATTTTTTAATATATTTTTTTTCTGATTTTTTTTCAGTTTATGACCTATGCCTTTTAAATGGTGTATCTCAATAAAAACTTTATTCTATTATGAATTAAACAATATTAAATTCTGCGTAAACTGAGTACCTCAAGCATCGGATTCAAATAGGCAGAAGAATCAAAATATCCATTAAAAAAACATATGATCTACGAATTTCATTGAAAAATTCCTTTACAGACATTGCAATTCTTTGTTTTTTCTTAAAAGTGGCTATTAGGGATGATAATATATTGAATACAAGTTGTGTAGAATACAATTTTGCATTTAATGATTATGAGTTCAAATTGAGTTTTTGAATTTACGTCAAACGTTCAATAAAAGTGAAAAAGTTAAGTGTCGCCATTTTAAAAGTGAGTAATAATGTCATTTATCGAATTTTGCTGTATTGATGTTCATTGATGTTTTTTTCCTCTAATTTACGTACAACGGAAAATTAAAAAAAAAATGGATAATAAAACAAATCAAACATTCAATCGGTATTATATCTATTGAGCATAGCGATTTTATAATCGCTATAATTGTAATTTTATAATTCGAAACAATTTTTACCGAAAATGTAATTTCATTAATTTTGTCTTTTTAATATTTCCGTAACTATAGATTTTATCAAGGAAATGTATGATGTAAAAATCAGCTGGATGTTCATAAATTTTCACAACGTCGTTCTGACGACATGTTGGGGTTATATGTCACACCAAACGCCCAAATTCCGAGAATTTTCGTAGATAAAATATTTGTAATTTACGACGCAATGAAGCCACTCACTAAGTTTTAGACGCGTGTTAATGAGTTCATGAAAAGGGGCCTATACCACAGACTAGTTAGACCCATGCCTGAGGATTCTTGTCCCTGGACCATAGGGGCCGAATATATATATTTTTTTAATGTTTTATTTTTTTTAGACAACTATTAATCATGATCATAAATTACAAAACCCATAGACGCGTTTAGTAAATTCAAAAATCTATTTAGTAAATCTAAAAATCCTTCCATAAAATTAAGTACAAAAATCATTATTTTTTAATTTCAAAACAAACACGTATTAAACAGTTTAAGTGGGCTCTAAAAACGAATCTGAATCATTTTTTCATGACTAAAATTTACATAGCCTGCTTTACTGGAAGCGTCTTAGGGTTTTTGTAATTTATTTCT